AAAAAATGGAGGGAATGGGGCTAGAAAATGTCAGGGTGGGGTGGGGTTGCGGGGTGGCCAGGGAATGTCTCACTGAGTAAACATGTGGGTAGAAGGCAGAAGTGAGAGAATGAGCCCTATGGAGAATGAGGGGAAGAACACTCCAGGAAAAGGGAAGAGTAAGGGCAGAGGCCCTGAAGCAGGAGCTTGCCTATCGTTCCAAGGACAGCGAGAAGGCCACTGTGACCAAAGTGCAGTGAACCAGGGGCATGAGGTCAGAGAGGTCATGGGGACCCAGATCAGGGCAGGCCATGTAGGCAATGTATAAACAGTTTGGCTTTTACTCTGAGCAAGACTTTGGTGCAGGAGTGACGTGGTCTGATTTCTGTTTCACAAGATCACGCAGGCAGTGTTGAGCAGTGTCCGACGGGGCGTGAGGCGGGAAGCAGGGAGCCTAGCTGGGAGGCTGTTGCAATAGTCCAGGCAAGAAGTGATAAAGGCTTAGACAAAGACAGTAGGGGAGGATCCTAGATATATTGTGAAGGCGGAGTCAGGATTTGCTGACAGAGTGGCTGTGGAGTATGCAAGAAAGAGAGGAGTCAAGAGTGAGGAAGACTTAGAGGAGCAGATAGTCAGGGCCACAGCACAGGCTCAGTTTTGGACAGGTTAAATTTGAGAAACCTATTAAACGTTGAAGTGGAGATGGTGGATAGGCAGTTGGATACATAAGGCTGGTTGGAGATAAACATTTGGGAGTTGGCAGCATGTAAATCATATTTAAAGCTATGAGAGCTCACCATGGTGGCAAGAAGAGACCAAGAACAGAGCCCCATCGTTAGTGGTTGACTTGAATTTGGTAGTCAAGCCCTCTTCTCCTAGGGTTGGGATGCCTGCTTAATCTGGCAGTTGTAATAATGGCAATTTTGACAGCTCTGGTAACACTTTCTCTTGGAGAAGAATGGATGAGAAGTGGAGAGGGGGAGGCACGTGTTCCTGTTGTCGTTACAAGATCTACAGTGGGACATTCTTAAAATATGGGGCAAGATTAAGAATTAATAATAATGATCTGCAGAAAGAACCTGCTTTCAGTGTGTTTTAGCCAATGTTGTTTTGGTTGCAAGAACAGAAACTTTAAAACTTGCTTAATCAACGTGGAGAATAAAGACATAGCATGCCTTCAGAGCTGGAGGATGGAGGGCACCTGGGCCTCAAAAGTAGATCTGTCCTGAGGACCTACTCACAAAGCTCTGTTCTTGTTGTTTCTCTCTCCCTCTCCACCTCCATCTCTGCTTCTTTCTGCATGTGTGCCTTTCTCTCTCTCTCTCTGCAGATTGGCTTTCTCCATCTCTTTCTGGCTTCAGGCCCAATGTAGCATAGCTCCGGCAGCCAGATCACATGTCCCCACCCCACAGAGGCTGATTTGCATTCTTTCACAGTGCCGGGGGCGGGGGGGGGGTGCACAGAATGATGGGTCCATCTTGGGTTGGGTGTTTCTGAGGTCTCACTGTCCAACTACAGCTGCAGAGGCCAAATCCTGTGGGTAAGAGGCAGGTCCGATAGGACAGGGGTCAGGTGAGCCGGCAGACACCCACAAGATGACCACTGTGGAGAATGTCTGTGATATGTTGTCTGAGGAGAACTGGCCATCACCCAAGTCTGATCTGGTGATGAGAGTGTCTCTCAGTCTAATCAAAGTGTCCGCATTAGATTTACCTTCTCTGAAGTGGGCTCTAAAGTTAAAGCTTTGGCTTTAACTGTGCAGTTAGCGTGTGTAGCTGAGCTGGGCTGGAACTTTTAGGCAAGGCTCTGCTAAATGGTCGGAAAGGAAATAGCCAAAGGAGAATATACATCTTTCTGGCGAGGGATCTCAAACCCAAATGCCCGTTGTGTCCAGGCAGGCAACAGAGAAGGTCTGGGTAGGCTTAAGATAGTAAGTGCATATTGTTTGTACTAGGTTAAAGCATGATTTAGCTGCCTAGTCACGTTGCCTTTTAAAACACTAGGCTGGCCAAACAAAGCAGCAAGTAGAACATGTTGGAGGCAGGCTGCCAGTTGTCAGACCTTGGAGTCTCACATAGCTCACTGGTCTTAAGCTCCTCAATGTGGGGTCCCTGCATGGGGTGTTTCCTGCCTAACTCCAGCTTGCCCTCCTCAGTGGGACAGGGCCTTCCTTTCCTACTTGGCAGTGCCAAGGCCCAACCCAGAACACCTGAGTTCTCTTTCTTGCCTAAGGCCTGCTCCTGAGTTCCTGTTTCCTCCAGACACCCTGCCTCTTCCCAGGATGTCAGTACTGGGAATGTCTGCCTCCTACAGGGGAGACCTTGACCCTGACCCACAGGAATGCAACCAGCTATGTCCTCTGCAGGAGAGTCTGTCAGAATGCAGCAGGGGAGCCCAGAATCAGGACAAGGATGCAACACTGTTTCTTTGGCGAGAGGGTGCTTTCCACAGGTTGCATATGGGTTATGCATTGACAATGGAGAGTAGGTGCCCTTGAGAGCAGACCCAGGTGTTCCCAATGTTAGAACAGTTTCTCCCAGATTACAGATTGATATATGAGCATCTTGATTTTGTGACAGTATCTTATAAATTTGGTCACTGGGTGTCAAGCCCCCTGTGCCAGGTCACCCTGGGGCAGCCAATTGAGTTTCAAGGCTGAGACTGCCCCTCGCCCCACAGGTGCTCTGCCTTTCCCCTTGCAGCACCCACTTCCCACAACCATGTCTGTTTCCAAACCAAAAGGCAAATGGCTTTTCAAGTTGAGAACTTCATATTTACAGAGACTAAAGCCCAGCACAAGGCATTAAGATGGCAAACAACCCAGAGGAGTGTGTGGGAACCCCACTGCCTATAGCATTGTTTGGAGTGAAAATCAGCAGCATGTTTCAGAAACTTAAAAAAGGGGAAGAAGAAAAAGAGATATAAATTTCTCCCATTCCCTATATGAGACTACATTGTGAATAGTGCATTATTCAAGGGGGTGAGTTTTTATGCACTTAAAACTATTTTGACTTCAGCACTTTTGGGTATTGCTGACTGAGGAAAACAAAATTGAAAGCAGCCCTCTATTTGGAGAGAATATTGAAGCATTCTCTGCCCCAGGCATTGAGCAGAGGGATGGAAAGGGCTTTAATTACAGACAACTGGGTTTGAAACCACCCAGTGGTGATGTCAGACTCCAATCCTGGGAGGAGGCGGAGCTGTGTGTGCTCAGCCAGCTGGTCAGTACTTGGGTGAGGAGGGGGCCCCCCAGGCAAAGAGCCCAACACGGGCCTGTGCCTGCTGTAAAGGGCCAGGCTGGGCTCCATTTTGCTGTTGCCTGTCAACTGCTTGTCATGGAAACTTCTATTTTGGCCACAGGCTGACTTCCCACCTTCAGGAGCCTAAGTGCTCTAGAGTGCTGTGTCGGGGGTGGGGAGGGGGAGCATACAGCTCTTCTCCACTCGGCAGAGACTTACTGAGTGCCTCCTTTGTGTCAGGATTCTTCTAGGCACGAGGGATTCCGTGGTGAACAAGACGGGCAAGGCCCCTGGCCTCACAGCGCTTATGATCTAGGAGGGAAGATAAAGTAAAGAAACAAGATCATTTTGGATTGAAGAGTGAGCTTAGAGAGAGCAACCTCTGTGTGTCGCACAGGGGATTGGGGACAGCGTCTCTGAAGTCTGAGGGTCAGAAGGGCTCAGCCATCTGGAGTGAGGGAAGAGCAAGGGCTGGGGCCCTAAGGCAGAAAAGAGTTGACTTTCAGAAACTTCCAGAAGGTCAGTGTGGTTACAGCACAGGGAGCACAGGGGAGGGTGGTACCAGACAAGATTAGGAAGGGAGGCAAAGGCCGCTCCAGCAGGCGTGAGAAAGAGGCATAAGGGAGTCACGTAACCTGCCTGATGTAAAGATCCTTCGGGCTGCAGTGCTGAGAATGAGTGTGGTGAGCAGGGGCAGGAGTGGAAGCAAGAGTCTTTTGCTGGTCCAGGAAAGATCACACAAGCCCAGAGATCACTGTTTGTTTACCTTTCCTGAGGAGTAAACAGAGTAAACACCTCCACCTGCCTCCTGCAGTGAACGTTGCAGTGATTGGCTAGTTAATGGAATAATTACAGACCCATTGGCCCAGGCGGGCTGGTTATTAGTTAGGTTAGGAGTGACAGCAAATGGCAGGGGAGGAGCTGCCTCCCAGGCAGAACCTGTTACTGATAAGAACAGTCTAACAAACCACAGGCCTGTGTGCAAAGGACAGGCCTGGAACATTCACCAGGAAAAGAGCAACAGCTCCCCTGGCTGTGGTTGCCTTGCTCAACTCCCTCCCAGCCTCCTCTGCCTTCCCTCAGGCCAGGAGGCATCACCAGAACAGAATTAACCAGGACAGGAGGACAACTGATGCACCCACTGGTTAACAGATAATAACGCACAACTAGTCATGGTGCTAAGTAGCCTTAAGGTGACACCAAGCGACACCTGGCCTTGTAAGGTTGATGAAAGTGTGTCTCATTTTATAGCTCCAGTCTGCATGCTATGATGAGTTGCTGATTGAATTCAGCCTCAGAGCCAGACCCTGTGTTTGGTGGGGTGGGTGAGAGCTGAGGCAAATGGTACATGACATGGGGCTAAAAAAACCGCCTGTGGAGGCATGTGGGCAAATTGAGAGTGATGTTTTGCTGGATGTGGGGAACACAGACAAGAGAATGAGACCCACAGAGTCAGAGTTAGGTCCCTGAGTCCCCCAGTGGTTGCTGCACAGCCTGGTTTTAGGATCACTGGGTCTAGTCCAACCTCTTCATGTTACAAATAAATGGGTGATGACACGTCCAGGGTTGCCCAATGAGTTGGTTGCCCAGCCAGAACCAGAACCCAGATTGCCAGACGTCCAGCCTCCTGACTCTTTCCATCATGTGAGGCTACAGCTTGAGAGGGAGGTGCAGGAGGGGCCTGCCTGGTACCATGACTGGACCTGGGTCAAGCAGTCAGAGCCACTCGTGCCTGAACCTCTGAGGGCAACAAGGCCAGGCTGAGGGTAGATTCTGTGTTTCAGAACCCACCAGGAGGAGGCCAACCATTCTACCTCTTGTGACCACAATGCTGACCACTCGCCTCTCCAGACCCCTGTCACAGCTCCTGGGGAGCACCCTAAGTTTCCATGAAAGAGACAATGGAACGAGGTAAGAGACTGAACTGTGGAGGTGGCCTTGAGGGTCACACTTTCTGGGCAAAGCACAGCTCTTCACACACAATGATGCAGGTGGTAAGACGGACTGACTCTCAGAGATGCCTCTCAGTACCCACCAGCAAAGGAAACTTGACGGTGTTCTTGGAAGAGACCTTCCCAGGGCACACAGAGCACACAAGAATATCTTTCATTACTGCTTTACTTTTTTAAAACTTTTTATTTTGAAATGACTCTACAAAAGTTGCAAAAATAGTACAAAGGGTTTGTGTATCCCCTTCACCTAACTTCTCCAAATGTTAACATCTTGCAAAACCATAGTGCAATCATCAAAACCAGGAATTTACCACTGATATAATACTATTAACTCATCAACAGACCTGATTCAAATTTCGCCAAATGGCCCACTAATGGACCTTCTTCTGGTCCAGGATACAAACAGGGTCCCACAGTGCACTTAGTTGTCATGTCTCCTTAGTCTCTTCCTCTCAGGGGCAGATCCTTAGTCTATGTTGTTGGTGACCTTGACACTTTGGGTTTGTGCAATGTTCCTCGTGTTTAGATTCAGGTATGTATGTTTGGAAGAATCCCACTTAGGTCAGGTGGTGCCCTTCTCGGTGCATGGCATCAGGAGGCACAGGATGTTGAAACCTCTCATTCCTTTGATCTCCTGGATAGCTGCTCACTTTAAATCTTACACATGAAACCGGTTAACTAAAATGTCCTGAGACTTCACTGAACTGTTTGTGTGATTTAGAGAAAGCGTTAAGTACAAATTAAATAAGCAGTCCGTCTTCTTGAGAGCTCCTGGAATTGCCTTTTTCAAGGCGATTCGGTGTGCTCTGCTACCTCATTTTCTTTTTTGCAGCCAGAGCAAGGAAAAAATAAATATCTTTTTATTTCTTTTGTATTTGAGGGGAGTGAAGTTGAGTGTCAAGTTAAATTCAAAGTCTCAGCAGCTAGAAAATTGATGGATCTTTTCTATGCCAATAAATATGTTTACAAGAACATGCATTTAGGCTTTTAGCAGCATTTTCTTAAAAGCATTTCCATGGGATACAGAAGCTTGGTTGCTGGTGGGGCCTCAATTACCAGAGGACACCATATAAGAAAGATTAAAATGGTCCCTCCCACAGAGGAGACATCCCATCAAAGAGGGAAAAGAGCATGGCTCTGTTGTGAAAGATTTTGAAAGATTTACTGAAGTTTTTTTTTTTCAGTGAGCTATTCATAGACATGGCAAAATCTTTTTCAAAAGTGGCTTTTAGAGATTTCTGGAGATTATTTTTTAGAGAGGATGAAATAATACCAAAGGAAGTTAAAATACTTTTACAAAGGTTTTTATTCTTAAATTAAAGGGAAGTGGGGCATTAGTCAAGTTTCTGGCTCATTTGAGGGGAAAGAAAGGCTGTCACAGGGAGATTCTGAATCTTCTGGAAGGATTACAGAAATAGCCAGGTTAGGCTGAGGGGGATGGGGCAGGGTGGTCAAGGGCAGAGCTACATTAGAGTACATTAGCTGACCTTAGGGCAAAGGTGTCAGCAGAGGTCAGGAAGAGAGACCCAGGTGTGTAAGGAGGATGGACTGGTGGGTGATCACTATGCCTGATCAGACAGCAGGTCTTTGGGTGGGAAAAAACTTTGGCCTGATCATTTTGCTTGAATCTCAGTTGGAAAGGGCCTCATACTCCTGTCCCCACCTGTGGTTGGATCCTGTGACAGCATCCTTAACAAGTGACCTTACAGCCTCTATTTGAACATCTCTTCCCATGGGGTAGTCAGTACCTCTCACATCAGGCCTCCTGTCTTTGGACAGTGCTATTGTAAAGTCCTTCTTCATATTGAGCAGAAGTCTTTTCTCCTGTAAATGCCACCCCTTGTTCTGGGGTCTGCCCTCTGTATTCATACTGAACAAAGTTAATCTCTTATCCCCAGGGACACCATGCCAACCCAATACCCCTCACCCTTCCCTGACTTCTCTTATTCCATCTGCATGTTTTTTCATTGCTCATCTCCCATGGTTTTTCCCCTCAGCATCCAGGTCTCCCACATCAATGATGTGCATTTGGCCTGGGCTCCTGGGCCCCGAACAGAACACCCCCCATGTGTACAAGCCTCAGAGCAGCAGTCACCCAGTACACAGCCTCTGTCCAGATGAAAATCGCCCCAGGAGTGGCCAGATGCAGCCCTTGTCCTGACACCTGACAACCTCCTCTGCTTACTGGCTCTGCACAGCCCTCAGGTTTTGGATCTCCAGCTTTGCCAGAAGGCTCTGGCACCCCCTGGGGCAGGTGACTTACTGACGCATTCCCCACCCGGCATGCTACCTCCCGGATCTTGGTTATACACACCAGTTGGCTCAGCCACAGTGCTCAGCTCTGCCTGCCCGGGCATGACACCTAATCCTCCAGGCAGCTGACCTGGGCAGAGTGGAGAAGGGCTCTTGCCTCCCTTACCCCGTCCAGCCTAGGCGCACACAGCCTCTTTTGGCAGCCACGTCAGTTGTGATTCATGGTTGACCAGACTACATTTTTTCACGATGCTGCTGTGTAAGGCCGTATTTCTCCCAGGCGGCGCTTGTCTCACTGCCTTTGTCTCTCCTAAACCCCATCTTGTTAGATTCCGCCTGTCAAATTGACTCATGACACCTCTCAGCAGAAGGCTGGGTTACTGGTTAATGACGGAAGAAACAAAAAGGATAGAGATACAGACTGGTAAGATGGAGAAGCAGCCAGAATTAATGCCCTGGCCAACATGGGGTGGCATCTCAAATGTGGCTTGGCGAGTTCCTGGACGCCAGGGCTCTGGGGACCAGCAGCTTCTTCCACAGGCCCTTGGGGAAGTGCCAGACACCACCTTCTCCACCCCATCTGATTGCACTTCTAGGTAGGATGGAAAACAGCAAGCTTTCCACCTCTGAATCTGCCGGCCACCCCTTTGGGATTCCCCCCTCAGAACGTTTGCTGACGATCCTGTGTTTAACTGTACCACCTGTGAGGCTGGCATAGCTGTTGGAGTTAGTGGTTTGCTTGACCAGCAGCATGCTGCCACCGCAAGATCCTCCTGGGCAGAGGGGACCCTCCAGGGAAATGCACACTATCTATATTATGGGATTTGGGCTTAACCCCTCAGGGGCACTCTTAGCCCTGAGAAACCAGTGTATCAGTTAGGGCTGCATCACACTAAGAGGAGCAGAGGCCCCCAGAAGGCTGGTGTGGCTTTGGGGGCCCCAGGCTCCTTGTTTCTTTCTGCTCTATCATTCTGAGGTGGCTGTCGCCTTAGAGTGCTGTGATGCTCCTCCTCCTCCAGCTTCAGTCCAGGCAGGAAGAAGCAAAGCAACATGGAGGAAGGGAGGAGCTGCTCCTGCACCCAGAGAGCAAACCTCTCCCAGCAATCACTGCAGACTGATGCTTGCACCTTATTGGCCAGAGGTGGGTCACATGATCACCAGGTAGGCGGTAGTCTGGAAAGAGTTGGGCACATTGCTACCCCCAGACAAAATTTTGTTAGTAAGGCAGATGAGAAGAATGGATATTGGCCGGCAAGCAGTGGTGTCACCTCAGCTGAGCTGGTCTGTGGCCTAGAACTGATTTTGACCCCAGAGATGTAAGGGCCTTGGCAGTCAAGAAGCTCAAAAAGGAAACCCGAGTTGGGAAAAAGTTCTTGCTTAATTTTCCTAAGGCAGCAGTTATGAGCTCTGGTTGCAGGTTAGAATGACCTAGAGCACAGTGGGGAAAAAATCCCTGTGCCCTGCTCCAGGGATTCTGATTTAATTGATCAGAGAGGAGACTAGGCCTGGAAATAGTTTTAAAAGCTTCCCTGGTGATTCTTCTTTAACTATTTTGGGGAGAATTTTAAACATATACAAAAGCAGAAAGTAGTATATTGATCTCCTGTGTGCCTGGGCTTCAACAGTTATCAGCCCATGGCCAATCTTTTTCCATCTCTGTTCCCACTCATTTTCCTTCCCCTCCCCCTACTGGATTATTTTGAAGCAAATCCTGGATGTCATGTTTGATTTGTAAATATCTTGGTGTCTATCTCTAAATGGTAAGAACTCTTTTTTTTTTTTTTTTGTGAGGAAGATCAGCCCTGAGCTAACATCCATTGCCAATCCTCCTCTTTTTGCTGAGGAAGACTGGCCCTGGGCTAACATCCATGCCCATCTTCCTCCACTTTATATGGGAAGCCGCCACAGCGTGGCTTGATGAACAGTGTGTCGGTGCGCTCCCGGATCCGAACCTGGCCGCCAGCAGCGGAGCACAGGCACTTAACCGCTACGCCACGGGGCCAGCCCCGGTAAGAGCTCTTTTTAATAACATAACCACACAACCTCGATCACATTCCCGAGTGATTCTAGTAAACAACCAGGGAGGCGAACCTGAGAACAGCTGCTCCTGACCTGTGTTAGTCAGCCGTTTCCCCAGAACCACCTGTGCTGGAGTCTCCTGAGGCGCTTGCTCATTAAACATGCACATTTCCAGGGCCCGCCCCTTCCTACTGAATCACAGTGTCGAAGGGAGGGACCTGGGAGTCTGCATTTTAACAAGCTCCCTAGGTGCTTGTTAACTACAGTTTGAGAATTAAGGTACTAAGGCCTGCCCAGGCCCAAGGCCCCTCCACATTGAGAAGCAGCCCAAGCCAGGGATCCCGCAGCACTTGCAGGAGCTCTAAGTTGAGAGGAGAGAAATAAGAGCAGCGTGAGGCAAGCCCAGCAGTGGCCAAGACAGAGAGGCTGAGAAGGCTCTGGTGCCGGCTGGAGCCTCCCAGCAGTGTTCTTGGCCCCAACTCACCCACCTTCTCGGGGTTCTGCCTCTTCGGCATTGGGTGTGGAGGAATGGAGCCTTGTGCTCTCTGGAAAAGTAGAAATGCCCTGGTCAGCTGGGGATGAGCAGTAGGGCCTGGTAGAATACACCCAGAGATAGCCAAGTTCAAGTCTGGATATATTTGAGAATGGGGAAGTGGATTAGAGAAAATTTGGCAGCCAGTCAGTCTGAAATGAGCTCTTTCTCTTGCTGTGACCCTTTTGTTACTTTTTAAAATATCAGATAGTGCAAAGGGAGTGGCAGAGGACAAGCACGTATAATCTAGTTCCAACAAGGACACCTTATTCTGTTTGCAAAGCAACGCCTGGAGTTGTGGAAAAACAGTGATTCTCTTTGGGTAAAGTCATTTAACCAGCTTTGGGTGTACTAACCATACCATTCTGCTCACCTGAGACCATCAATGTACAAGGACTTAAAATCCAGAGAGACTCCTCTGTGGCAGTTCAAAAGGACAGGGGTTACCTTGGCAGATTTCCTAGTGGACCCTTGTTTCTGTCTAGTAAACCCAACATTTTTTTTTTTAATTGCTGAGGAAGATTAGCCCTGAGCTAACACCTATTGCCAATCCTCCTCTTTTTGCTGAGGAATGTTGGCCCTGGGCTGACATCTCTGCCCATCTTCCTCTACTTTATATGTGGGATGCCTGCCATAGCATGGCTTGATAAGTGGTGTGTAGGTCCGTGCCCAGGATCCAAACCTGTGAACCCTGGGCTGCCAAAGTGGAGCGTGTGAACTTAACCACTACACCACCGGGCCGGCCCTGTAAACCCAACATTTTTAAAGAATGTTGGACAATATGTTTTTATGAATTTTTAAAAAACTTTATATTGTGAATAGGTGATATATTCACATGGTACCAAATTCGAAAGGTACAGAATAATATACAGTGAAAATAAGTCTATCTCCCACCTCTTCTTCCCCTTACCAGCTGCTCACTCACCCCTACTTCCTCCACTTAACTGTTTCTGGTTTAATATTTGTTTAGAAGTGAACAGGACTTTCACTTCTGGAAAGATGGAGTAGATGTACTTTCCTTTATTTCTTCTGCTAAATTCAGCTAAAACCCCTGGATATTATATATAACAAGCATAATAAGACTCTAAAAGATGGAGAGAAGAAGGCAGATCACTAGGGACCTCAGGACCCAAGAAATAACACAGCTTGAGTCTAGGTTTTCTTTTGTTTCATACATCCTAGATTTGGAGCTGAGGAAGCTGGCAACCTAGAAAGGCCAGTGAACTCAGGCACAAAAAGCAGTTTGCTCTCTCTGGCCAAAGGACCAGCCTAGCAAGACAGAAAACTCTGGACAATAATCACTCTACTCTAGCCAACCACCACAGAAAAAACTGTAGCCTCACCCCTACCCTTACCAGCAAGGGCCAGTGCTGAGCCTAGACTTCCACCTTCACCAGGCTGTGGTGAGGGAACCCAGTCCCCTGACCAGGACTTTGATTGTCCCCCCAGCAGTAATAAGGCAGCATGTCTGATTGGGGTGGGAGTCGGGAAGTGTCAGAGTAGACTTTCTCCACCTCCCAGCAGTAATGAGACCACACATTCCCATACATATGGGGAGCAGTAATGAGGCACTCGAACCCCTCCCAGCCCGGGAGATATTGGTGGAGACCTAGTGGGGAGCCAGAACCCATCCCCACCCAGCAGTAACACTTCTCAACTTATTTAATGAGGCTAGTATTACCCTGATGTCAAAACCAGACAAAGACAGTACAAAAAAAGAGAACTACAGATCAATGTCCCTCATGAATATAGATGCACAAATCCTTAAAATATTGGCAAACGGAATTCAGCAATATATAAAAAAAATTATAAACCATGAACAAGTAGGTTTGTTCCAGGGATACAAAGATGGTTCCTTATTTGAAAATCAGTCATAATCCACCAAATTAACAGGCCAAAGAAGAAAAATCACATGATCCTATCTATCAATGCAGGAAAAGCAAAATTTAACACCCACTTATGATAAAAACTCTCAAAAAAATAGGCATAGAGGGGAACTTCCTAAACTTGACAAAGAGCATCTACAAAAAACCTACAGCTAACTTCATGCTTAATGGTGAAAGACTGAACGCTTTCCCCTAAGACGGAGAACAAGTCAAGAATGTCTGCTCTCACCACTGATTAAACATAGTGCAATAGGCAAGTGCAATAAGGCAAGAAAAGGAAATAAAAGTCATACAGATTGGAAAAGAAGATATAAAACTGTCCTTATTTGCAGATTACATGATTATTTCAATGTAAAATTCCAAGAAATTCACAAAAAACTCCTAGAACTAAATGAGTTTGGCAATGCCACAGAACACAAGATAATATACAAAAATCAAGATATTTTTATATCCTAGCAATGACCCTGTGTATATCAAAATTAAAAACAATACCATTTACAATTGGTCAAAAAAATGAGATACTTAGATATAAATATAACAAAACATATATAGGATTTTTATGCTGAAAACTATACAATGCTTATGAAAGAAATCAAAGATCTAAATAAATGGAGACCCATACTATGTTCAGGGATTGAAAGACTCAAAATATTAAAGATGTCAGTTTTCCCCAAATTGATACACAGGTTTGTCACAATTTCTATCAATATCCCAGTCAGATTTTTATCGACAAGATTATTCTAAAATTTATATGGAAAAGCAAAGGAAATATAATAACTAAAACAATTTTGAAGAAGAAAATTAAGGTGGGAGCATATAGCTCAGTGAAACAGAATAGAGCATACAGAAACAGACCCACATGAATATGCCCAACTGATGTTTGACAAAGGTGCAAAAGCAATTCATGGAGGAAAGATAGCATTTTCAAAATATGTTGCTGGGGCTATTAGACATCCATAGGCCAAAAAAACCCAAACCTTGACTTAAGTCTCACATCTGGTATGAAAGTTAACTCAAAATGGATCACGGACTGAAAATGCAAAACATAAAACTATAAAACTTTTAGGAAAAAATATAGAAAAATCCTTTGGGTTCTGGGATAGGCAAAGAGTTCTGAAACTTGACATCAAAAGCATGATTCCAGTGTCTAGGTTTATTATTTTAAAAATTAATATTTTCAAAAATTGTGAGCATAGGTTTTTACTATATAGTAAACTGTGTGTGATATCCTTAAAAAAAAAACCACGGTCCATAAAAGGAAAAATTGATAAACCAGACTTTATCAAAATGAAACAATTTTCCTCTGTGCAAGACCCTGTTAAGAAGATGAAAAGACAAGTTACAGACTAGGAGAAAATATTTGCATACCACGTATGCAACAAAGGACTAGCATCTGGAACATACAAAGAACTCTCAAAACTAGATAGTAAAAGAGTAAATAATCCAATTAGAATATGAAGACATTTCTAATGGACAAAAGACATGAAGAGGCATTTTACCAAAGAGGATATACAGATGGCAAATGAACACATGAAAAGCTGCTCCACATTATTAGGCATTAGAGAAATGCAAATTAAGACCACAATAGGATATCACCACACAATTAGCCTCGCTAAATTAGAAAATAGTGATACCATCCAGTGCTGGTGAGGATGTAGAGAAACTGGATCGCTCATACATTGCTGCTGGGAATGTAGGATGCTACAGCCACCCTGGAAAGCAGTTTGGCAGTCTCTTAAAAAACTAAACATGCAACCACCCTGTGACCCAGCAATTGCTCTCCTGGGTGTTTACCCAAGAGAAATAAAAACTTAGGTTGGCACAAAAACCTGTACAGGAATGTTCATAGCAGCTTTATTTGTCATAGCCCCAAACTGGAAACAGCCCGGATGTCCTTCAACAGGTAAACGGTTCAACAATCTGTGGTTCACCCATGCTGTGGAATACAACTTAGCAATAAAAAGGAAGAAATTAGTGATACGTGCAACAATCTGGGTGAATCTCCAGAGCATTATGTTGAGTAAAAAAATAAGCAATCCCAAAAGGTCGCATACTGTATGATTCCATTTATATAACATTCTTGAAATGACAAAATTATAGAGATGGAGAACAGATTAGTGGTTAAAGCGGATGTGGGGTGGGAGGGAAGCAGATGTGGCTATAAAAGGGTAACATGGGAGATCCTTGTGGTAATGGAAATCTGTGTTTTCACTGCATCAAGGTCAATATCCTGGTTGTGATCTTGCTTCTATAGTTTTGCAAGATGTTACCATTGGGTAAAAGGTTACAGGGCGTCTCTCTGTATTGTTTCTTAACTGCATGTGAATCTACAATTATTTCAAAATAAAAAGTTTAATTAAAAAAGCTGTCAGGAAGCAGCATGAAACCTAAGCATTAAGACGGTGAATTTGCAGAAAGCTCTGTTAACAGAGCTGTATCACTGGAAGGCTCTTTCTACACAGCGGCAAAAATGGCCCCTGTAATTACTGGTCCACTTTCTCCCAGCCTAGCAACCCTGGAGGAAAGACGCCCTCTTCCTCAGTGGGACCAGCAGGTTGTCCTCAGGGGCTTGGGCTGCGGAGACAGTCAGTACTGCTCACTGGTGGCTGAGGGGCCTCTGAGTTGCCTCTGCTCCAGCAACAAGGTCTGAGTGTGACCACAGCCTCTGCTCAGGGCTTCCTTTTCTCTTGCAGACGCACACTGCTGTTTTATTCTGCCTCCTTTGACCCTGCAGGCCGTCGTACTTACGCTGATTCGGTGAACCCGGTGAGTGGCAGCCCAGCTACCTGGGAACTAGTGAGGTGGTCAGAGCCCTTCCCTCTGGGCCCCCAGGCCCTGGCTACCCTCAGGGCAGGACTTTAGTGCTTTTAGGACACTAGGAGTCACTTTCTCACTCACTTAACCACTCCCTCACCTCCCCATTAAATGAAGTTAGGGGTTAAGAGTTTAGACTCTGGAATCTCTCAGTCCTGGTTTCAGTTCCAGCTCTATCACTAACTACATTGGGCATTTAAAAAGTGTCTGTTTCCTCATTTGTAACATGGTATAATAACCATACTTACTGTATGGAGTTTTTGTGAGCATTAAATAAGAATAATGTATGCACAGTGCTTTGCACATGGTAAGTGTTCAATAAATGCTCTCTTTGGTGATGGAGATGACAGTGACGATGGTGATGATGGTGGTGATGGAGATGACAGTGACGATGGTGATGATGGTGGTGATGGTGATGGTGGTAATGATGACTGTAGATGAGGAAACTGAGGTCCAGAAAGGCGAGTCACTTCCCCAAGCAACATTGTTAGTTGGTGGCAGAGTCTGGGTTAGAACCCGGTCTCTTGATTGTTAGTCCAACCTTTTTCCACTATTCTGTGGTGCTTCTCCAGATAGAAAAAGCCAGGCAGGGAGGACCAGGCCTGACCCACTCAGGAAGCACGAATTGTTACTGCCCAGAGGAAGCCTGGTCACTCTGCCCTCGGGATCCTGGGTTCCTAACGTGGAATCTAATCTTCTAAAACAGGCTGGCAGCAAAGCTGTCCTGGTCACAGGCTGTGACTCTGGATTTGGGTTTTCCTTGGCTAAGCATCTGCATTCCAAAGGCTTCCTTGTGTTTGCTGGCTGCTTGATGAAGGTAAGAGATGGGTCATCTTTGTCACCATTGTCCTTCATACATGGTCAGTGTTTTGTGTGTTTTTTTTTAATTGTGGTAAAATACACATAAAATTTACCATGTTAACCATTTTTAAGTGTACAGTTCAGTGGCATTAAATATATTCACATTGTTATGTAACCATCACCCCCTTCCATCTCCATAACACTTTTCATTTTATAAAACAGAAACTCTATACCCAATAAACAATAACTGCCCAGTCTCCTCTCCCCTCAGCCCCTGGCAACCACCGTTACAATTTCTATCTTTATGAATTTGACTACTCTAAGTACCTCATGTAAGTGGAATCCTAGTGTCTTTTTGTGACTGGCTTATTTCACTTAGCATAATGTCCTCAAGGTTCATCCATGTTGTAGCATGTGTCAGAATTTCCTTCCTTTTTAAGGCTGAATAATATTCCATTGTATGTATATATCACGTTTTGCTCATCCATTTATCTTTGGATGGACACTTGAGTTGCTTCCATGTTTTAGCTATTGTGAATAATACTGCTGTGAATATGGGTATTCAAATATCTCTTCGAGACTCTACTTTCAATTCTTTTGTCTATGTACCCAGAAGTAGAATTGGTGGATCATATGGTAATTCTATTTTTAATTTTGTGAAGAGCTGCCAGACTGTTTTCCACAGTGGCTATACTGTTTTACCCCCCACTGACAGTGCACAAGGGTTCCAGTTTCTCCACATCCTTGCCAATACTTGTTTTCTATTTTTTTGATAGTAATCATCCTAATGGGTGTGAGGAGGTATCTTACTGTAGTTTTGGTTTGCATTTTCCTAATGATTAGTGATCTTGAGCATCTTTTCATGTGCTTGTTGGCCATTCGTATATCTTCTTTGGAGAAATGTCTATTCAAGTCCTTTGTCGTTTTTGAGTCGGGTTGTTTGTTTTTGTTGTTGTTGAGTTTTAGGAGTTCTCTGTATATTCTAGATATTAATCTCTTATCAGATATATGATTTGCAAATATACCCCATTCTGTGGGTTGCCTTTTTACTCTGTGGATAGTGTCTTTTTTTGTGTGTGTGTGAGGAAGATCAGCCCTGAGCTAACATCTGTTTTGCTGAGGAAGACTGGCCCTGGGCTAACATCCATGCCCATCTTCCTTCACTTTATATGGGACGCTGCCACAGCATGGCTTGACAAGCGGTGCATCGGTGCGCGCCCAGGATTGGAGCGGGTGAACCCCGGGCCACCGCAGCGGAGTGCGCGCACTTAACCGCTTGCACCACCGGGCCAGCCCCTGGATAGTGTCTTTTGATGTACAAAATTTAAAAATTTTTATGAAGTCCAGTTTGCCTATTTTTCTTTTATTGCCTATGCCTTTGGTGTCATATCCAAGAAATCATGGCCAAATCTAATGTCGTGAAGTTTTGTCCTATGTTTTCTTCTAAGGGTTTTATTGTTTTGGGTCTTACATTTAGGTCCTTGATGCATTTTGAGTTAATTTTTGTATATGGTGTTAGGTAAGCTTCCAGCTTCATTCTTTTGCATGTGGATATGCAGTTTTCCCAGCACCATTTGTTGAAAAGAATGTCTTTCCTCATTGAGTAGTCCTGGCACCCTTGTCAAAAATCATTTGACCATGAATGTGAGGATTTATTTCTGGGCTCTCTATTCTATTACATTGGTACACATGTCTGTCTTTATGCTAGTACCACACTGTTTTGATTTTGTAGCTTTATAGTAAGTTTTGAAATCAGTAAGTGTGAGTCCTCTAGTTTTGTTCTGCTTTTTCAAGATTGTTTTGGCTATTTGGGGTCCCTTGAGGTTCCATATGAATTTCAGGATGGGTTTTTCTCTTTCTGCAAAAAATGTCATTGAGATTTTGATATATATTGGATTAAATCTGTAGATTACTTTTGGTAATATTGACATTTTAACAATATTAAGTTTTCTAATCCATGAAAATGGAATGTGTTTCCATTTGTTTATGTCGTCTTTAAGTTCTTTCAGAAATGTTTTCTAGTTTTCATTGTAGAAGTCTTTCACCTCCTTGGTTAAGTTAATTCCTAAGTATTTTGCTCTTTTTATGCCATTGTCAATGGAATTGTTTTTATAATTTCTTTTTCAGATTGTTCATGGTTCATGTATAGAAATGCAACTGATTTTTGTGTGTTGACTTTGTATCCTGCTACTTTGCTGAATTAATTTATTGGTTCTAACAGGTTTGTGTGTGTGTGTGTGTGTGTGTGGAATCTTTAGGGGTTTCTACATATAAGATCATATCATCTGCAAACAGATAATTTTACTTCTTCCTTTCCAATTTGGATGCCTTTCATTTCTTTTTCTTGCCTAATTGCTCTGGCTACAACTTCCAGTATCTGGCTACAACTTCCAGTATTATGTTGACTAGAAGTGGTGAAGTTGACCAAAACTAACCTCAATTTACCATCCAAGTCTTTCCCTGGAAATTGCAAGCCTTCAACAGACTCCAGAGTTCCAAAGTAGTTACAACAGACAGATTCTGCCAGTGCAATTGTTATCTAGGTAGGAGAGAGATTCCTGGTACTTCCTACTGCATCATCTTCCAAGAATTCTACTTCAAGCTGAGTATTTAACACCAGTACTGCCCAGGACCTGGGCCAGGGTCTGTAGTTGTTTTTTAATTGCTTTCCTAGGAACTGGCTCATATGTTGCTTAAAATAGCCCATACCTTTTCCATTTGCTTCAGTCTCACTTGTTCTTCATAGCTTTGTCCACTCATTCATTCATTCATTTTCTGAATGCTAGTGATGTGTCTGACACTTTACTAGGTGCCATAGAAGACTAAGACCTGGTCCTTGCCCTCATGGAGCTCACTGTCCAGTGGTGAGGGGACAACCGTGCACAGACACAGCTGGAAGAATTAGAGTGAAGAGGGTTCTCAGGGTTGTGTGAAGAATGTTTAATGAGAGTACATGGAAGGAAGGGATTGATTCTGGCATGACAGAGGAGGTAACATTTGTTCTTGGCCATGGAGAATGAATAATACTGTCATAGGTGGAGACTGGGAGGAATGACAGTCAGACAGAAAGAATAGCCTGAGCAGGGACTTGGAAGCATGAGGCTCCTTTGGGACTCATCCAGTGGAATTTAGGGTGCATGAAGGGAAGCACTGTAAACATAATTGGGACATGACGCTGCAAAAGTAATTAGGGAACAGTTCCCCCAATTTAGAGAGTTGTACGACAACCATCATGGCAATTCACTTTTAGGACATTTCCATCACTCAAAAATTTCTCTCTTGACCATTTGCACACCTGTCCACACCTACCTGTAGGCCTAGGTAGCCACTGATTTCTGTTTCTTTAGAATTGCCTTTTCTGGACTATTCATATAAATGGAAGCACACAATGCACAGGCTTTTGTGCCAGGCTTCTTTCACTTAGCATAATGTTTTTGCGATTCATCTATGTTGTAGAATGTATTGGTAGTTTGTTCCTTTTTGCTGCTGGATAGTATTCTATTGTATGGATATATACTACATTAAAAAAATTCATTCACTAGTTAAGGGATATTTGGATAAAAATGTTTGGATTTTTGGCCATTATGAATAATGCTGCTATGAACATTCACATACATGTCTCTGTGTAGATGTGTGTTTTTAACCTGGTTCCTTTTAATAGAATTTAGAAACCCACATCTGGGCATTAGGTGTGCTCATTACTGAGAGGGCATTGCTGCTGCTTTTCCCTCTCACTGGAGAGAGCTAGAAAATGTATAAATAATCACACACACACATATATATGCACACATTATAGTTAGTTATATCTATCTGCTATCTACATTTCCTATAAATATCACAGATATGCACAAACACACACATATAATTCATAAGGTTATACTGACCTCCTGTTCCAATTCAACACAGCAGCATTCTTCCTTGCTTCCTTCATTCCATTTTATTTCTCCCTTCTTCTGCAGTTAGAACCTTGATTCCCAACTATATCAATGTATTTACCCATTTGGCTAATCCTATAAGACAGACACAATTGCTTCAGAATTGCTACATTCATACCATTACAAACAGCAAACCTACTAAGTTGTTTTGTCAGCCTGGATCCTCCAAGAAGCAGATACTGAAATAGGATTAGATGTGCAAGAGATTGATTTGGGAAATGCCTGTCTGGCTAACGGGGAACAGGGCAGGTGAAGGCAGAGAAATTCTTTAGATTGCAGTGCAGGTCTGTGAAAAGGCGTTGGAAGGAAGGAGGATTAGGTGGGCAGAGCTTCTGACTGCAGTCCAGGCTGAGTCTTGTTTGGGACGATGGGGAGTCTCCAAGAAAAGGGTTCCTGTTAGAGGAGACCCGCCTTGGGCAGGAATGGCCCAGTACTCCTGCCGTGCTCGGCCACTGGCTGAGAGAGCAGCCCAGGCAAGCATGGCCGTGGCCGTGGCTGTGGCATTCGTGCCGTTCATGCCACAGTGGATCTGAAGGTGCAGCAGCCAGAGACCTTCTGTCAGCTGCTCCTGCAGCAGGTTGTCCTGCAAGGAGTTCTACTGTGGCCACCACAGTCGGGCTTAAGACTTTTTAAAAGTGTTTTTTATCTATTGACCGAAGGTATACAAAGTACTGTGTTTAAAAGTTACTTGGATTAATTCTTTTTTTCTTTATCATTATATTACTTATTTGAAATACAGTTCAATTCATTTATTTGTTTGTATTTTGTTCCTTTCATTCCTGTTGGTTTAATTTAAGTTTGGAATATGTAAAACATCAACAAGGCTCTAAAGTCAAAATTATATAAAAAGGTATGCTCGAAGTAGTGTTACTCTCTCACCTCCTATCTTTTCCATTCTATTCTTTCCTTTCTCCTTTCTTACACAAATGTTTGCATACTACTTGTACCCTTTTGTACTTTTTAAAAAAAAACTTAACAATGTATCCTGGAAATCCTTCTGTATGAGTTCACAGAGATCTTTCTCATTTCTTTTTAACAGCATCGTAGTACTCCATTGTGTGGGTGGGCCATAGTTTTACTC